AAAAAATGTATCATATTTAATTTATATCATTTTTATATATCACAAACATTCTTATATATTCCCAATCTCCTTATTTTGAGGAAGCCGCTATAAAACTTTTTGGGGAAATGGAACAAAAATCTCAAAATTTCCCTAGATCTGAAGAGTTTTGAGGAAGATCATTGAACTTTGGCGATAATCCCAAAATTCCCCCCCCCCGAAATAGGGAGATTGAATTTATAAGCTACTTTAAATTGTAAAAATGAGTCAAAAAAGGATCTTTTTATGTTATTGAATAAAGCGTTTTTGTAATATGAGTTATTAATTATTCTGTTTAAATGATTATAAAACACAAGTTCGGACAATTGAATGTATTTTGTATAGAAAATTACAGAATGCCTTAGTCAAATCTAAGAATCATACAGTAAACTCTTCATTTGCAAAGTATTAGTCAATTGTCTGAAGCTTGACTGTTCCTTTTGCAGATATCAGTCAGTCGTCTCGTTCTCTTTTCTTTGATCTTCTTAACCTTCTACCATTAGGTATGGATGGTTTAATGACTGAGCTTTTATTATCAATCTAAGCAACATAAACATCAGTATTATAAAGTTTAACAAGAAATGATAAGATAAAATTTATCAATAAATGACTGACACTTTGCTCTGTCGACATAATATTTGATTATTTGTTTCCAGTTATAGTGACTCTATTGTTTTAACATTCATTTTGTTTGTTTTATTTTCTGTCTGACTAGTTGTTTAACACTATTCTCTCTAACTGACAAATTGAGTTTTTGTTAAATATGCACATATTTACCGCTAATCAACCTGAATTCTAAGAAAAATTTCAATATTTTTTACCTTACTTACATCGGAAATTCCAAGGTTTTCTTAATTAAGTTCTCATCCTTACTTGTTTACATCATGGTATTTTGTCATATTCGTCAGCTACTTGTTTTGCATTCAAATAAAGATAAAATTGTAGCCAGTATTTCAAGCATACTGTTTGTCCTGATTGTAATCGTTTGTATTTTAGAGGATGTTCAGCTGATTTTCTTTGATTATTGCCTTTTGGACTGAATTAAAATATTTGTCTGATTTTCCCTACCTTGTGAACTACACTAACTCACAATGATTCCGGTAAACTGGCTAAAAATTCTCGTACATATTTCTATATTTGGTAGGATAATCCATTTGTGTGTTCGTACAATTAGTTTTTACACCCAATGCATAAACGTTATTGTATAGAAAAACTCTGAAAGCCGGACTATTAAACCATGCGTCTTGGATAACGAACAGAACATCTAATAGCTTGGAATGCTTTTCCATCCTGATATATGAGAAATAATCAACCTTGTCCTCTGAGAGACCAAGCTAATATTAACTTTTATTATCTATATGTAATCACTTAACATGGAATAAAGTATATCATATTGTCAGTTTATTCACTTCATTGACAGTCATGGATTTTTTATTCGATAAAATTCTAACATCCTCTATAAAATAGGTCAAGATATATTGAACTAAAATTATTTAACATTATTCGAACCGTTCTATTTTAAGAATTACACATATTAATTACAACATATCAGTAGTAATAAAAATACATTCCAATAGTTGAAATCATAAGTCAATTGAAGGTGTGACCAGTGTAGTTCAACCAGGTCTGTTGTGAGATATCAGCTAACTGAAGACAATGGTGTACGGTGGAGCAATTTCGTGGATTAGTTGAAGTTAGACATTAATACCGTTGGTTGCCAGCTCAGTGGTCTAATGGTTAAGCGCTCGTGCTAGAGACTGATAGATCCTGGGTTCAAATCTCTAGAGGGGGGGCACGATCGTGGATGCGCACTGCTGAGGAGTCCCATACTAGGACGAAAAGGCCATCCAGTACTTTCAGGTTTTCCATGGTGGTCTAGCTTCAACTGACTCATGATCTTAACCATTGAAAAATACATTTATTTATTATCTTTTTTTTACATTTCCATAGGAATTATTCATACTAATCGGTGGATTGGATAGAAAACAATATTTTCAACTATCTTATATTTTTCAACCAATTCTCAAATTAAATAATGATGAAATCACTAACGATAAAAATACAAGTCATGATAACCTATCTTCATTTGGTTCTTATAATAAATCGAATTTTCAAAAATCTAAACCATTTGGACATATTGAAATGAATGATTTAAAGGTATTCTTTCATGCTGCTAATATATCCCAAGTTCATATACAACAATTGATTACATTTTTAGATAATAAAAACAATGGAACAATTGATTTCGTGACATTTTTAGAATATCTTCCTTTATTTGTTGAATCACATCAACAGATTATAGATAATCCATATTTAAATAGAAATATATTCAATATATAAAAATAGTTGTTTTAAATGAAGGGTTGTCACTAATTGATTATAGTAAGGTTACCATTGCAAATCATGGGACATCAAACATATGTTCCACTTAATATGAAAACTTTCAGTAGTGAGCATTAATGATTCATTCAGTGATCGAATATAGAATATTTCATATTTCTTGCGTTTAATTTACCTGGAGGTTACTAGAGAGCTTATTAAAATGAATCTAGAAGTCAAATAGAAGATTTATCAATGGTGTGTTTAGTTTAAAGAAATTTGCAACATTGTTTGAATAGAATTTCAGATGGTATAAGCCTATGAGCTAAGCTTTTTTTTTATCAAAAACAACCAATCCTAATGAGTAGATATTAAATATCGTAAAAGGGATATATCAGCTTCTACTTTATAGCTCGCATGTGATTCTGAATAGACCTGACTAACTGAGGTAATATATGATTATTAAGTCATTTTATCTTCCTAATAGTTATATCTTCTTTAAAGACAGTTATGATTTTCAGTACATTAAGTTTATTGAGTTTATACTCTTATATCTTATGTATGTTGTGTAATACACAGTTTTATCAAACTTTAATAGTATTCTACTAATAACAAACAAGCTTGATTTGTATCACTTACAGTAGCTATCATTCGAGGTCTAAAGAATGTCCGTCTTTATTGAATTGTTCTATCGGTGTCCTGATGTTATGGGAAACGGTGCGTAATTTTGAAAGCGTTTTTTGCACAATGTGTTTAATAATAATTAACTTCAGCTTATCTGTTCTTCTTTAAATAAGTTCTAAGTTTTAGCCCTTCAATCATTCCAAGTTCTCGCAGTGCTAAGTGAAATTTGTAGAAAAAGATTGAAAGCAGGACATCGATTGCTATTAAAGATCTAGCTTAAAAGCTTATACAGTTTGAAATTATCCATGCAGGGATAGGTGGATTGCATATTGTATCAGCTTCCATTTCAATTCCCAAGTTTCAGATTACATCCTAGATCCAAGCCTTTACGTAGGAACAATACTTCTGAACTAAGGGTACACTGGTTAACATATAGTCTGGTAGCACTGGTTGTGAAATCTTCGCTTTATGGCCATATTACTTGTTAGTAATCAAGGTTATCCCGGTTTTTGGACTCGCATTGGTTAACTTGATTATCAACAAGCTGAAAATGCTCTTATTGGTTAAAACAATTTTACACGGACAGCCATTTTGAACTAATTATTTTTACGTTTGACTGGTTTATGATTTACTGTTTTTGTTGTGGCTGTTGTTGTTGTATTATCACCTTGAATGTACGCTTAAATCCAACTACTTATGATTTACCATAAAACTATATATATTATTTATATATACTAATATACAATATTTCCGAATAATCAAGACAGTCTAATCTAGATTAAGACCTTGACGCGATAGACTGACCGGCTTAACCTCGAGGCTAGTATTCGTGAATTCGAAGTGGGGTAGAGAGAAGAAAACTATTCTATCACCTGATTGGCTGACAAGTACGCGAGTGGGAAGACAAGCCAACTGGAACACTACACGATTTATCCTCAGTTCCGATTAGGTACTCGATTTCAGATCAGTGTAAAAAGATACATGAATAAATAGATGACTGACTAACGCAACCACAACGTACAAAAATTAGGAAAATACAATTATGTCCAAAACTGGGGATTCGTGTAGAAAATAGGGTACAAAATATTATGTTTAAATTACAATAGCTTTGGAACAAAAAGGGCTATGGCAGTGAATCATACATCAAACGAAAGCTTATGTTCTGTAGAATAGACTAGGGACAAAAATAAGTGTAGTGAAAGCTCCCATTTTGACGAACGAATTGAGCGAAGAAATTTCTTTTCAATTAGTTTTTCATCATGGCTCTACACTAATATATATATGATTTTCAATAATGATATAACACTCATTGGGTGGATATGTTACGTAATAATTACATGATGATATTTAAATTAACATTGAGTAGTTAGAAGAAAGATGATTATTAATATTCAAAGGAATTATTCGAAAATCAAGAAGTTGCTGTTGCATAATATATGAAAAAGAGAAGGAACAGAATTTGTAATGGATGGTCAATAGAATAGTGGTTATGTAAGAAGCAAGAGACGAATGTTGAAAAATTATAAAGTTAAAAAAATTAAAAATTAAAAAACTCAAATGTGAGAAGTATGGAAAATAGTTCTGTTGTAGGGAATCTTATACCGATGGCCAAGGCAGCGAAAGTGGTTGAACAAATTTCTTTTGAATGCAAAGGTCAGGTTTGTGAACATGGATTGCGATGGCTAGGTGTTACTGTTTTACAAGCTTTGAATTAAATGAAATAACATCCTTCCCCAAAATAGCTTCCGAAGTTTCTCAAAGCTTCTTGTTTCTATGTCCACATCAATATAAAAAAAAAATAAGATAATATCTCATATAATTTTGGATGTCTAATAATCTATGTAAAGTGATAAAAGTTGTTTCCATCATTTGAAGTTAAAATCAATTGGTAGTTTGAAAACGTTTTCATCATTATCACTGGAAATCCATACTGTTATTGTTTTGTTCTTTTTTGTTTTTTTTTTTTACAAAATAAAATGATTTTTATTAGTAACATTATTATTTCCTTAACAACAAACTAAAGATAAGTATGTTCACTTTTATTGATTTTCTATGAATTCCATTCCAGATAAAATATACTTCATAAATAATTGATTATATTGTTGAATTTTGTCAACTGAAAGCTTGTCTGAACAAAAGGTCTAAAAGATGAAAAATATGTATTCAATAATTAATTTTTATGAATAAAAAATATTAACAGAAGGGGTTTTGTGGAGATTTCAGAAATTTCAATAGTTGAAATTATGAGTCAACTGAACCTAGACCACCATGGAAAACCTGGAAGCACTGGATGACCGTTTCATCCTAGTATGGGACTTTTCAGCAGTGCATATAAACGACAGACATGTCAGACATTAATACCGCTGGATGCCGGCCGGTTCAGTGGTCTAATTGTTAAGCGCTCGCGCGCGAGACCGATAGGTTCTGGGTTCGAATCTCGCGGGGAGGTGGGATCGTAAATGCGTACTGCTGAGTCTCATTCTAGGATAAAAAATATTATAAGACACGAATATGATTATTTGAATAAGTCAACTGTAATGAATTAATAAAGGACTAATATATATGACTAAATAAACAGAAGATAGATCACTATCGACCATACTGAGTGAGAATTGATAAGGATGTGTAGAAGTTAGTCTTCAGGTGTCTATCTAGGTCAGAATGCCTCAAAGTTTAATCATTAGGTTGTTCCTATCATTATGAACTATATAGCATTGAATCGAATCATTTTCAAGAATTTATAAAGACGCATATGTAAAACTACGATCTTAATGAATGAAGCAACACCAAGGCGAACCTAACAACAGATAATTCAGAACAGTCAGAAAGTATATGTTTCATCAACAAATCTGATAATAATATATAGTGTACATTTTTGAAGTGTCCGACCGAAGGTTTAGTCCCTTATGAATCTTGAAACTAATTATAACACAGATAGGCCATAAATCATTTATATGACGTAATGAATGTTGTGTGTCTAGTGAAATATTCAAAGGTGCACAAAATGAGAGTACTACGGACACAATACTGAACTATATATATATATATATATATATATATATATATATATATATATATATAAGCAAAGATGAATGGTGGCTAGCAGTGGAGTTGATGTTCACTCCAGGACTCGAACACAATAAGAGTCTGATCAATTGCAGACTCAAACATTAGTGCGAAGATAAAAACAAAAAATACAAAATGAATTAAAACTTCATCTCATTGAATAAGATGGTGGTTATCAGGACTCAGTAGCTATGTGGCTAACGTGATGATGTTTGAAGCGAGTCCAGGTGTGAACATGAACTCTGAGATGCAGGCACATGCTGCTGACGAGTCCACAACACGGCGAAACGCGTGCCCTGGACTCCAGTGCTAACCATTAACCAGATTTGCTTATAATGCTTGTGACCTAGTTTACTATCCTAGTTTTCTTAATTTGTTTTAACCATTTCAAAATATTTATGTCAAAACTATTCTGAGTGTAATTTGACCTCGATTGTAAAATTACTAAGAAATAAGGAAAACACTGAATAGCTGTTTTATCCAAGTTTGAAACTCCTTAATAGTATCCGCTCAAAACTTCACAAATCATCTGGTCGATAGATCATTAGAACTTGTTACAAGGAAGATACGTTGAAGTATCTGAATTAGAATTTAGTACTTCAAATTTTTTTTATCTTCAGTCAAGTTACAATCAAACACTATCTTCATACAACTTCATCGATGAGTTATTGTCGTTTGATTACATAACATTTTCATTTTTTTCTTCATCCTAGAGAGAAAGTTTCACTGTTTAGGCATTTAATAATTAATTATTAGCATTTTATATTTTATAATGTCTATCACAAGTGGATTGTAACTATAGAACCACTGAGAAATAAATAGTTGATAAACAATTGTTTCTTCACAGTTTACAATGTTTCCAACAGACTATGCTTGTGTTTGTAACGTTTGATGAATATGCAATCTTTGTTGGAAATGGTCTTGATATTCTTCAATCCTATAAATAACAATATTCATGTAGTGATGGAAAAGATTTGTAGCTCAGGTGGATGATTTTGATGGAGTTTTGTTCTCCTAGCTGAATGGTTTAGTCGTGGAGCATTTATCGTTATTCTGAACGACATCATCAACACGAACGTCACGTAGAAGTGAAGTGTTCGAATTTCTCTACATGCGGTTCACAGCTTATCCTGTAGACCTCGACGTTGATTGGTTCTTGTTGACCTTAGACTTGTCATTGTTTACTTCTTTATTTTGGTTGTATCTCCCATTGGTTTCATTTTTGTTCTTATGTGCATAATTTGCATGATTGGTTGATAAATTGTATCGATTTCAATGTACTTGTGTTATTGCTGATTGACCTGAGTGCCAAGCTTCTAAAAATTCTCTGGTGTTTTCGGAATTGCCTCTATCCAAAAACTCCACATTTTTCCAGTCGAATGTGTGTCCGCAGTTGTTCACGTGCAGTGGTATAAGTGAGGACATGTCATGGAGTCGAACGTCATCCAGATCAGAGAACAAAACTCCATCATAAAAATATTCATGAAAAAATTTGTTAAATCTCTTTGGTAAAACTTACTAGTATTGTGTAATACATGTGTCGAACATGCGAATTAATTCTTTTATTCTGTTTCTTGATAATGTCTGTTTATAAAAAAAGGTATAAAAAGACAACTTGATAATATTTCTCAGCCAAGTTTGCGTGCAAACAACAATGTGATTAAAGATGTATGTTTTGTATTATTTAGGACTCCCTAGTTGAATGTAACTGGATCATATTGTTGATATTCACATGGAGATTCGAAGTTAATGTCTCTCTATACATTTAAGTAAAGTTGAGTTGTGGCTAGCTTGTAACTTAATGGTGATGTGACTATAATCCGTATAGAATCCACATGCACCTGAACATTAGTGATCAATTGAAGCTTCTAACATTAACAAACATAAGATTAAAATCTTCTACGAAAACTGCTGACTTTGGATGATTCATTACTATTAGTGAAATTTGTCTTATGCTTGGTAGGGTTATTTATTTATTTATTTGAACACATAAGTATTGGTACAAGGGGGCACCTCACAAAACAATCAGAATTTGAAGAGAAGAGAAAAACAACAAAAAAGGAGGAGGGTAAGGAGAGTAAAAAAACAATAACGAACAGGTTAGTGTAAGGTAGTGTAATAATACTAATAATAATAATAACAATAATAATAATAATAATAATAATAATAATAATAATAATGGTAATAATAATAATAATGGGGGAAACGGATAGGTACAATCAGAAGAAATCTTTCAGTTAAGGAAGTTACAACCACTTTTTATGAAGAAAGTAAAAGAAGGTTACAGCAGGATCGCCACTGGCTTCTATTTTGAGCTATATCTGGTAACGTCTCTAGCCACTGTGTTGCACCATCTCTAGGACCCCAGTTAGGGAGTCGTGAAAGACCGACAGAAGCCAGCCTTTTGCAGCTTTCTTTCATACCATGACACCATGGTAGGGTTAAACTCCAATTGTTGTAGATTTTCCTAAAAACTCGTCCATCTTATAACTAAATCTATATTTTACAACTTACAATGAATTGGTCGTTGAGCAGTTGTGATCAACGTTGCGTTTCCCTTATCTTTCTAGGTTCAATTGAGTTATATCGATCAAGTTACAATGAAGTTTCTAGTGTAAGTGACCAACAATGCGTGAATCCTGCTGAGATTTTAAATACGTATAGGCAATTTGTGAGGTTAAATATGATTTGATGGGAATTCGAAACACTAGCAGAAGCCTTTGTATCAGTAGGCCTCAACATACACAAGGGGAAAACCAAGAAACTCAAATACAACACAGAGAACACCAACACAATCACACTTATTAGAGAAACTCTAGAAGATGTGGAATCATTCACGTACACGATCAACATCATCGATCAACAAGGAGGATCCCAAGCAGACGCAAACGTAAGGATCGACATAGCAAAGACGGAATTCTTACAACTGAAGAACATATACAACTCAAAACAACTGGCAACCAACCAATATCAAACTCACAATCATCAGTACGATTGTCAAGACAGTTCTACAGAACGGAGTTGAAACGTGGAGGACTACTATAAACATCATCAAGAAGGTACAAGTATTTATAAATAGTTGTCTTCGCAAAATATTCAACATCCATTGACCGGATACCATCAGCAACAGACTACTGTGGGAGAGAACAAACCATCTTCCCGCTGAAGAGGAAATTGGGAAAAGACGATGGAAGTGGAAAGGACATACATTGTGGAAATCACCGAACTGCATCAAGAACTGACTTGGAATCCTGAAGAGAAGCGGAAAAGAGGAAAGCCAAATGACACACTTTGTCGGGAATCTGAAGGAGACATGAAAATGATGAATAGCAACTGGAAACAACCGTAAAGGATTGATCATGATAGAGTTCAATGGAGAATTCTGGTGATCTGTCTGTGCTCCTCTATGAGGGGTAACAGGCGTAAGTGAGTAAGTACTTGACAAACGAACTCAGCGATATTATCATTAAACCCTCATCATCGTAATTCTCTTTCACCTTTGATTGACTACACCTTATTTATCCGTTAATCACAAAGTTGTACCTCTTTTAAAACGAGACTAGATTTTGATTGATTTCATCATGCTCTTGTTACTGTTCAGCAGATGTGTATTATTGTTTTGATTGTAAATGAATGTTTTATATCATATTTTTTACTGATTGTATTTATTTATATTTTAGAAACAGATTGTAATTAGTGACTGTATATCTGGTTACGTGTTTTGTATATAACCCTGAAACAGTTCAGGGACATACGAGGAGAATTCATCTGTAGGCGAAATTAATTCAACATTACTAATCACATAATATTCTAATGTAAACAATCAACATTAATGTCACAGGAAGTAATACAGCAGTCTGAATAGTAGATACAAGTAATTAACAAAGAAATAGATTACATTTCTAAGGAATTAAAAAACACACATCATTAGAAGTTTGTGTAACCATTATCAAAATCAAATACTATATATTACAACATTGATAAATAAAACTGACCTTCAATTTTCATCCTCTCAAGTATATACTTTAAGAAGGAAACTCCTAACATGTATTCAATTGTTTTTTGTGGAACCTTAAAGTACAGAAAATGTTGTCAAACAATTTAATGATCTAATTCAACACAAATATTTGATCATTCAGAGATGAAAATATATCAGACTTAGGAAACCAACATAATGTGACAGTATTCAAAAAGAAAGAAAAAAAGAAGAAAAGAGGTTTTCTCCCTTTCTAATGAATGTATGACTATTCTTCTTATTCTATTACTCAACAAATGATTATCTCAGAAGGGTTTTGTGGATATTATGGTAATTTCAATGGTTGAGATCATGAGTCAATTAAAGCTAGACCACCATGGAGAACCTAGAAGTACTGGACGGCCATTTTGTCCTACTGTGTGACTCCTCGGCAGTGCGCTTCCATGATCCCGCCCCCCATGATATTCGAATCCAGGATCTATCAATCTCGGTCGCGAGTGCTTAACAGTTAGATTACTGATTATCTATTTGTGAAACTGTGTTTGTATTTGCTTGATTGAAATTGGATATTTTGGTCATTTACGATTAAATGTTTTTTAACAGAGAGTATAACATATTTTTAAAGTGGTTCATCTTATAGTTGTAAGGTGATTTTTATGATGGATTGATTTCTCACTTTAGCTATTTTGTGCTCGTTTGGAGTTTTTCAACAGTGAGTACTTATAAGTTTAATGGAAATCTGTTTGCCCAATGATAAACTTGTCACCTATTCAGTAATCTAAACATAATGCACTCATATTGGGTAGACTTGAAATCATAATACTAAAAAAATAGTAACGAAGTAGTGTGAAACAACTGTTCATTAACTTTTAATTGTCATCATCCAAGAGTATATATTTTAGTTCAATCAATCACAGAAACAAAATGTTCAAGTAACATATACACACACTAGATTTTTTGATTGAGATCATGAACTGATTGATGTTAGACCACCATTGAAAAGCTGGGAGCACTGGACGGCAGTTTTGTCCGATTGTGAGACTCCTTTGCAGCGAGAATCCATGATCCCGCTGGCAGGATTCGAACTCACGGCCTTCAGTCTCGCGTGCGAACATTTAATATACTGGACCACTGAGTCGACATTCAATGGTGTTAAAATCTAACTTCAACCAATCCACGAAACTGCGTGACCATCTTCCATTGTACTGAGGTGGATAACTGTCTCTGCTCGATACGAATTAGCTGCACTGGTCACGACTTCTCACTAGAACTTTGCGAATTCTCTTCACGAAGCTAGTCACTACTGAGCACATGGTAAGTATCACTCACTAAATGTAGAAAACTTGAACGTTACCAGAGAACTTCAGTAACTCCTATAATGACTATTAAAATTAAGGCCAATTTTTAGTCAGTTAGGATATAAGTAACTCAAAACTATCAAAGTTGGGACCAGGATATTGAGTTAAATGTTAAAGTAACATTTATGATTAGCGTTGATTGTTCAACTAATCATAGAAGAACACTTTGTAGTCATATTGATAAAAATAATTATCTAGACAAGAATTGTCTACATTCTTTATTCTAAATCTTATCAACATGCATAAACTATCTTAAATTACTTATGAATTGTTTTGAAATGTTACAATTTCATTTTAATACAAGTTGTTTTCTGTCATCAGTTTCTCATTATCATTTTTTTTCGTTCTTTTGTTCTCTCAATGTTTATCAACTGTTAGTTTTCCCTTAATTTTTATTTAGTTCTTAATACTTACTTCTGTTACTCCTCGTGGAAGAGCATAGGCCATTCACCAGTACTCTCCATCCAACCCTGTCCTGAGCAATCTTTTACAGTTGTTTCTAGTTGTTATTTATTGTTTTCATGTCTGCTTCCAATTCCCGACAAAGTGTGTCATTTGGCTTTCGTCTTTTCCGCTTCTCTTCAGGATTCCAAGTTAGGGCTTGTGTCATAATGCAGTTTGGTGATTTTTACAATGTATATCCTATCTATTTCCATCGTCTTTTCCCAATTTCCTCTTCAGCGGGAAGATGGTTTGTTCTCTCCCACAGTAGTCTGTTGCTGAAGGTATCAGACTAACGGATATTGGGTATTTTGCTTAGAAAATTGTTTATAAATACTTGTACCTTCTTGATGATGTTTATAGTAGTTCTCCACGTTTCAACTCCGTTCTGTAGAACTGTCTTGACAATCGTACTGATGATTGTGAGTTTGATATTGGTTGGTTGCCAGATGGTTTTGAGTTGTATATGTTTCTCATTTGTGAGAATTCCGTCTTTGCTTTGTCAATCCTTACGTTTGCGTCCGCTTGGGATCCTCCTTGTTGATCGATGATGTTGATCGTGTACGTGAATGATTCCACATCTTCTAGAGTTTCTCTATTAGGTGTGATTGAGTTAGTGCTCTCCGTGTTAGTTCTTAATATGGTATATGATATTTATTATCGTGCTTTTGAATTCCACGCTTAAATATTTATAAACCTCAGTCTTTGAATACTGTTGGTTTATCAGTAAAATATACAGTTATGAAAGAAATTTTAAAAAATATCTACGAATACTACTAATTTCAATAAAAGCACAACTTACTGACACTGTAGTGAATATTAATAAAATAATAGGATAACTATAGTTTATATAATATTTCCAAATTCTTATCAGTTCACTGATCAATTCATTGCCTGAAATTTTCAAATAACAATGGTATTTATTAATAAGGAAGGTAAAATACAAGTACATGATTTTACAGAATATCTGTTACATAATGCTTAATATATGTAAGGTATCAAGTATTTTTCAGGCATTTGTTCGTTCAGTTTAGGTGTTGTGGAGATTGTCAAGTTTTTGATTGAGATCATGAACCGATTGATGTTAGACCACCACTGAAAAATTGGAAGCACTGGACGGCCGTTTCGTCCTATTGTGGGACTCCTCAGCAGTGCGCATCCGCGATACCGCTTGCGGGATTCGAACCCAGGGCCTTCAGTCTCGCGCGCGAACGTGGATCCTACTTGTAACTAAAAAAATCTCATCTCAAGCACTAACTTCCATTTCATCTGGTTTTCTTATCTGACATATTGGAATGGTGTGCTTACAGTTGAAATATACGAATAGCTTTAAATGATTGAAATCAAATCCCTAGTGTTAATCATCTCTTTATATTCAGCTTTTACTCAGTAAATTAACAAATTATGATAAGCAAAGATTGATAGTGGCTAGTAATGGAATCCAGGACGCGCATTTCGTCCTATCAGGACTCAGCGGCTAAGTGAATAACGCGATAACGTTTGAAACGAACGGCACTGGGTTCGAGACCAGGAGTGAACATCAACGGTGGGATGCGGATACATCTAGTTGACGAGTCCCCTATAGGACGAAACAAATTCAAAATATAATAAGTACTTAATTTATTAAACAATGCAAAAAAAGATTAACCTAAAACTAAATAGTTATGTAATAGGCATAGTATTTAGTGACGATCATGATCACAACAACCATATTATACGATTTACCATAAAATTCACTTGTTCTTATTGTACATAGATTCAATTGAACAGAAGTACTAAATTGCTTAGCCATATTGCTATGAGGATTTTTATAACATAGCCAAATCCAACCACAAATGAAATGACATATAAGGTCGTAGATGTTATTCGAAGCATACTACTTCTCATTGAAAGCCTCGAATCACTGGATGGCCATCTCGTCCTAGATTTGGACTCCACAGTAGTGCCCATCCACAATCCTGAATGCGAGAATGAATGCACGGCCTTCGGTCTCGCACAAACGCTTAACCTTCAAACTTTTGAGTCGGCATACTGTGATGTTGGTGTTTAACGTCGAATAATCCACAAAATTTCACGACTATCGTCCATCGTCTTCGGTGGGTAATTGCCTCACATCCGACAGAGACCAGCTCCACTTATCACGGCTTGTCATTCGAACTCCGAAAATCTCTTCTCGAAGCTGGTTACTAGTGAGCACATGATAATTTTTTGTACGGTTTGTGGAGATTTTTGGATTTCATTTAAGCCATGCTACTTGTATTCCATTAAACAATCATATCAGATAGTGTATCGTGTAATTAACACCCGATAGAGAGAGTAAATTCTACTTTCCTATAGTGTAATCACTTTACAATTTATAATGTATAATCAAGTAGAAATAATCTTAAATTCACAAAACTCATGACAGTACCGTGTGTTAACTTGATATCTTTTTGATATTTCCCTTTACAAGTTAACAGACTTTCATAACTATTTCAACTAAAAACATTTTCAGAGTAATCAATGATTACTTGACCTACCATTTAAATTTTCTAACGGCCTACGAAGAGTACGCATAGTGTTACGTAACACCTTTTTCTGGTGAAATTCAAACAATATTGTAAGATGAATTATTTAGTACGAAAATTTAGCATAATAAAAGACTTCCCTAAGTAACTATGAATCTAGTTTAATACAATATCGTCTAATTCAATATATAATCCATTCCTTGTCACCTAGATATATGATTGATAAGAAGTAGGTTTAAGCTAGATATCATCATCTTAGAATGTTTTTCGATGAAGCTAAAATTTCTGAACTTCTAAATTAGTTCCAACCACTACCCAGTTAATGTACGTGCTCCCATGTCTACTAATGATCAAGTGGACCATAGAACATAACGTTAGTTTGAATAGTTTCAGTGGATAGTTTGTTTTGTATTCGAACCAATCATTCAAAAATTTAGCGTTTTTAATTTTACTTTGATGTAATATGCTTATAAAATGTTGTATATTGGCCTTATTTTATGAACCGTCATAGTCATCGATCAAGCTATGTCTTCTGATCCTTTAATAGCTCAATGAGACATAAAGTTGTGATATTAATACCTTGGAATTATTATTCATTCATGTTTTTCGACTCATTCTATTACTAGTTTGTTTATTCACTTATTTAATCATATTGTAGTAAACAAGAGCGCAAGTGGGGACAACCTAATGCATTTTAATACAACATTACAGAATATTTGAGAACCATATAGCAAATATTTCATTTGCAACATATCCATAAATTGTCTCAAACTTTGTCGTTCCTCCGTTTCCATAACAGTCACCCTCTGGTCTCGTTCTGTTCTCTTTGATCTTCTTAACTTTCTGCCTCCAGGCATTTCATTTTCGATTGATGATACATACTATTTATATCTGTCGACATCAGTAGCACACATCACAATACCAATAACTAAAGTAATAAATATTTACAGTAAAATGTAATGGTCGCTAGCTGTAGAATATATAAAGCGCTTTTCATTCTAGTTGAGACATACCAAATAGATACATCTCAGTGCTTTATCTTCATACTGAAACCTGAACACAGTGCTAAGAATTCAGTACTCACTACCTTAGAGAACAATGTCTTATCGCTGTTTATCACTCCATTTATTTTTTAATTGAAGAATTCTGGATGATACTTATATTTCAATGCACATACAGTAACCAAAGTTGAAAATTGTTAATCGTTGGTTTGTATAGTAACGTTCAAATTACATATTTAAAGAATTAGTGATCATTAATGCTGTATATTGAATGGACAATGAACTCAACTAAGACTTCTGAATAACCTTTCATTTTCTACTTGGTAATACAATCAGGGAACAGTGCTTCTGAAGCATTACTAATTACTAGAGACAAACTAAGTTATGCTACAAATGAACTAAGATTTTAAAATTTCAGTTACGAAAATCAAGGTTGATGAATTTAAGGCATTAAACAGCTTGCGTATTTATGTTTTCATGTTTAATGATGTATGTCTACATATCCAAGAGGTTTGATCACAGGCATTAATGATCTGTTCAACTTACATCACAATATTCAATAATAGTAGCCGTTTCAATTCCAGAGTTTACCAGTTGTCTAAATGAAAATAACAGTCAATATTCATCAATTCTCATGGGATCATCGATGTAATTTAAAACAGATAGAGATTTATTAGTTAAATTCCTGAGTCGATTAAAGCTAGACCAAAACGGGAAACATGAAAGCACTGAACGCTTGTTTTTTTCCTAGTTTGGGACTCCTCAGCAGTGCGCATCCACGATCCCGCACGCGTGGCTCAAGCCCAGAACCTTCAGTTACGCACGCAGTCGCCTAAACTCTAGACCACTGAAGCGGCATCCAATGGTGTTAATGCCTAACTTCAACCAATCCACGATATTGCGCTACCGTCTACCATTGTTTTCAGTGAGTAATTGCCTCACAACAGACACGATAGATCTCCACTGGTTCCATACTAGAACGAAGCGGCTATCCAGTGTTTCCAGGTTTTCTATAGTGGTCTAGCTTTAATCGACTCATGAATTCAACTATTAAAAATAACTACAATCTTCAAAAAACCCCATTCAGATAAAAATTTATTTAAAATGATTAATGTAAACAATCGCTTGATTGTAACAAACATTAACGATATGGATTAAATAAAGTTTTCAATGAGCTATAAGATTTGATATTTTAATTTTACTTCAGCAGTTATGTGTATTTGATTGATCTTAATTGAGTTACCTTGTGAAAACTAGGGGTGTTACTAAATAACTGTTTTGTCCTAGTATGATCTTCTTCAGCAATATACACCCACAAACCATCAAAAAACCAAACCCGGGACTTGTAAAAAGTCTGGTTTATGATCAAATAAGACAGATTTTTATTTCTAGAACGGTCATGTAACGAAATTAAAACAGACCTTACTGTTATTATTCAATGATAAAAGAACTAAATACAATCGACTACTAGCTCTACAATAATGACTTGCCATCTAACGTTGAGCTATTGTATATTGTTCAAAATTATAAATGAACGATTCTACAACAAAATGATGCTTTAGCTAATAATCTTGGTTAGTGTTCTTTAACACTTTAATTTTTTGTTAAAAAATAGAAAGGAACTGAACGTACCTCATATTTCTGACTGCTTCACTGATATCTAGATTTGGTTTACAGAGAATGGTGTTTATTATAGCATTTTGAACACTAAAAAAAACAAGGAATAGAATTAATATTCACATTAGATAGAAATATGTAGTGTATATGCTTACATTTCATGAACATGTTATAATGTTGATTAGAATCATTCAAATCCTATAAAGATCCCATGTCTATACAATAAGTTAGATATATGTTAGCGAGCTATGTTCAGTAAGTAGATTGGTTTGTTAATAAAGAATACTCTACATTATTTTATTGTCCACATGAAGTACTTAAAATCTTGAGGAAACTGATGTTCATATCCCCCAGCTCAACGATCTGGTTGGCTTCTATTTAACTATTATTGATGAACGCCAACTAACACGATACCTAGGTACGAGGTTTCAGTGAGATTTTAAGATCTATGATCAGAATAAATATGGGTCAAGTAGGGTGAGAAAAATAATAGTGCAATTACCATTCGATCAAATAGATAAGACGTAATAAGGAGGGAACAATCATGTATAGGGGAGATCAATAATGAATAATAATAATAATAATAATAATAATAATAATAATACAATGATTTATGAATAAAGATAACAGAGAAAATTACAAATGACTACGAAAGGTCATAGTCAAATTACGTCATTCAATAGTTAAGATTACGATTGATTAATTGGCCTTGATGTTGGCCAGGGGAGGAGGAGTGGTTGAATATATTTCTTCTGTACGCATAGCTCCGGTTTCTTCATCCGGATGGCTATTGCTTCAGCTGTTTGAAGGACTTTCAGTCTGACCAGTTTGGGCAAAAAATTACTGACCTTATAAATAATTGAAAAAGACTGGTTTATACTGGCACTATAACCAGTTTGTACTAAATGGGCTAATATTGAGCTGTTCACTTTCTTCATCAAACCTTTGTTAAGCCACGCTGGAAGGTGTTCACGAGCACGAAAATGTAAATTCCTAGAACTTCGACCAATATAACTCGCTCCACAGGAGCAGTAGAACTGATAAATGCAAAATGAGGTGGTCATTCTAGATAATTCATCTTTTAGTCTCGGTGTAACCATTGGGCGCGTAGAAAACACTAATCGCAGTTCTCCGGCGTTAAAAGATTTTTGTATTGTCCTACGTAGTCTCTGAGTTAATATTTCACTCGCCACATCCCCTCTGAATTGTAAACGCATGAACAGGGATTTCTTCTTCACTGTTTGTATTTCGCCTATTTTCGCCTTCGTGATCATATATTTAGTTATAAACTTTCTAAGGTAGCCGTTCTCCCTGAGAGTATTATGCAAGCTGTTAAGCTCTTGTTCAACTATATCAGCAGAACATATAGCGCGTATACGATAACTAAGGGTTTTGATCAGGTTTCGTTTGTGCTGTAGAGGTACAAAGCTAAGAAAATGGGTATACTGCCCAGTCCATGTACTTTTTTTGTTTAAGTTCCTTTTCAACGACCCGTCCGCTCTCTTAGTCAAGAGAACGTCCAGAAAAGCTATTCGGCCCTCATTCTCTTCTTCTGGTGTAAACTGCATGGCTGGATGTACTTCATTAAATCGCCTAAGAACCTCTTGTGGTGACGTATTATCTTTACACAGGATGAACGTGTCATCCATGTATCTACAGTAAAATGTGAAGTTTTGAATAATCTTTTTCAGTGGACCATTTTTTATTTTTGCTAGAAAAATATCAGCTAGTATATGGCCTAGTGGTGAACCCATTGCAACCCCATCTGTTTGTCTATATATTTCACCGTTGAACTTAAAATTCACCTTCATGGTGCATTTGAGTAATAATTCTTTCACGATATTAATAGGAACAGTAGTCTCGATTTCGTTTTCAATCAGTTGTTCGCCTATATATTCTACAGTCTCAATGAGTGGGACGTTTGTGAATAGCGATATTACATCCAATGACATCATCTTTAGACCCAGCGTATTTGCATTTTTGATTTTATCAACAAATTGGAACACATCCTTAACACTATATTTTACAGACTTTTCGTGTAGCGGTTTCAATATAGTTACCAACCATTTAGCTATAGTATGGTAAGGAGAGTTATACATATCTAAAATAGGTCTTAATGGGATCGCCGGTTTGTGTACCTTTGGCAATCCATACAATCTCGGCAGATAGGTTCCTACTGGTTTAATAATTTCATATAAACTCGACGAGATGGTCTGTTGGTCCCTGAGCTTCTTCAAAGATCTGGTAAGCTCATTTTCTATCTTATTATTCAAATCTTTCTGGTCAGTTATTTTTTTGAAACTTTAATTTGTTATTGAAGATTGTACTCATCTTTTCAATATAATCACTTTTATTAAGAAGAACAATACCTGAACCTTTGTCAGGTTTTGTAATCAGTAACGTCTCATCCTTAAGAAGTAGGTGAATAGCTTCCTTGTGCTTCTTCGTAAGAATGCTTTTGTAACTAAATTTATTGTTCTTATATTGGTAACAGCAGTCTACAATAGTTGATTTAAAATGTTCTAATTGCTGATCCGAATTCACAACCAAATCACGTGTCTGACTATAAAGATTCTAGAACTGTATATCTGTATCGATGTGATTGCAGTTATTACGAGCATCACAAAATTTTATACCTAGGGATAATACCTCTAGTTTTTTTTATCTAATTCGACACTTGATAAATTATGTACATACCTTTTAGAGTCCGTTGGAAATTTGCTTTCGGCCGTTTGCTTTTCCAGACCTTTCAGTACCTGGTATTTTTCTAGCAAAAATAAAAAATGGTCCACTGAAAAAGATTATTCAAAACTTCACATTTTACTGTAGATACATGGATGACACGTTCATCCTGTGTAAAGATAATACGTCACCACAAGAGGTTCTTAGGCGATTTAATGAAGTACATCCAGCCATGCAGTTTACACCAGAAGAAGAGAATGAGGGCCGAATAGCTTTTCTGGACGTTCTCTTGACTAAGAGAGCGGACGGGTCGTTGAAAAGGAACTTAAACAAAAAAAGTACATGGACTGGGCAGTATACCCATTTTCTTAGCTTTGTACCTCTACAGCACAAACGAAACCTGATCAAAACCCTTAGTTATCGTATACGCGCTATATGTTCTGCTGATATAGTTGAACAAGAGCTTAACAGCTTGCATAATACTCTCAGGGAGAACGGCTACCTTAGAAAGTTTATAACTAAATATATGATCACGAAGGCGAAAATAGGCGAAATACAAACAGTGAAGAAGAAATCCCTGTTCATGCGTTTACAATTCAGAGGGGATGTGGCGAGTGAAATATTAACTCAGAGACTACGTAGGACAATACAAAAATCTTTTAACGCCGGAGAACTGCGATTAGTGTTTTCTACGCGCCCAATGGTTACACCGAGACTAAAAGATGAATTATCTAGAATGACCACCTCATTTTGCATTTATCAGTTCTACTGCTCCTGTGGAGCGAGTTATATTGGTCGAAGTTCTAGGAATTTACATTTTCGTGCTCGTGAACACCTTCCAGCGTGGCTTAACAAAGGTTTGATGAAGAAAGTGAACAGCTCAATATTAGCCCATTTAGTACAAACTGGTTATAGTGCCAGTATAAACCAGTCTTTTTCAATTATTTATAAGGTCAGTAATTTTTTGCCCAAACTGGTCAGACTGAAAGTCCTTCAAACAGCTGAAGCAATAGCCATCCGGATGAAGAAACCGGAGCTATGCGTACAGAAGAAATATATTCAACCACTCCTCCTCCCCTGGCCAACATCAAGGCCAATTAATCAATCGTAATCTTAACTATTGAATGACGTAATTTGACTATGACCTTTCGTAGTCATTTGTAATTTTCTCTGTTATCTTTATTCATAAATCATTGTATTATTATTATTATTATTATTATTATTATTATTATTATTATTCATTATTGATCTCCCCTATACATGATTCTTCCCTCCTTATTACGTCTTATCTATTTGATCGAATGGTAATTGCACTATTATTTTTCTCACCCTACTTGACCCATATTTATTCTGATCATAGATCTTAAAATCTCACTTAACATACACGCAGATTCAAGTTAACATTCTTTATGAGTCATAACATAACAACAAGCACAATTTTATTGTATTTTATTTATCACAATCCTAAATTCACATGCTTTAAACTATGTACTTCACCCTTAAACTGGCCATTTTTCGGATTATTAATTTGGATATATAATTGTAGAACCTGAAGAGAATTTATCGAAAAGAATATTCTTCGTTCAAATACTAGTCTTTTAATATGACTGGGATATTTAATCGATTAAAATTACTGTATCAAGAGAACACCTAGTTTTTATGATTGAAACATTTAAGTTCATAAATGAGATCAGGTTGAAAGCGAACTATAGATACTTTACTTTAAATAAACAGATTGTTATGTCCTTAGCTTATACGATTAACATAAAACACGATTGCCAATTGTAGATACACTGACTTATATGATCAAACACTGGTACGAGCAGCTTAGAGTTTTGATAGGTTTTTTTCCGCCTAGCTCCGCCTATTAAGCCCAAAACGTCAATCTTAGCCTCCGCGTTACGAACCGTATATATGTCAAACATACTGGATTTATATATAAGCAAAATCAGACCACATCACACCATATAACAGAAAATAACATTTTTACGAGATCAAGACAAAATGTGGCTGTGAATATAGGAGACTAGGCATAACATAAGAACGGTAAGTCGTATAATAATAATCTGTGGGTCAAAATAAAGCTTGTAATGAAGGGAACGGTTACCACTCATTTATTCTCTTCCGGATATAGCACAGATTATATATATACTCTTTACACTAAAATATAGAATTATCACTGAATAGCATTACACCGGTTAACCGACTTGTTCTCGAATTTTTAATCTTAAATGCACAGTCTCATTAGAATTGAACAAAGCAGAATATCACTTTGAAATTGTCTGGCCAATGTTTAAACACAAGAATCTACCGATAAAAACCCATGAAAATCAAATAAACATGTTGAATTCTTGTAGTTCGTAGGTTTCAATGAAACTAACTGAACAATCTTCATGATTACAGATAAAATTTGTACTGGAAAAGATGAACATTTGGTGATATTTTGATTTCATATGAGGATTATGATTGTTCAATATCGTGAAAAACATTTTTTTCCTCTTCGAATAAAAGTCAGTTCAACTGTAAAATAAACACTTTCTCAAATTCTGAAAGATTTAGTACACATTCCCATTTAACTTTCTACCAAAAACTAATTATCATCACTGTAATTCTGGTTGAGTTGATAGTCTCACCTTGTTTACTCCTTGCATGGAAGCAGACTCACCTACATAGTATTTTTTTAATGTTAACGGATATAACCATGTTAGAACTCTAAAACCAATGAATTCATGAATATAGTTGGAGTTTAGTTAACAGAAAACTCCAGGAGCCGTATTTCATTCTGTTTGGGACTATACTTTTGTCTTATTGTTAATGTACACAATCACGCTAAAGTCCAGTATCTGTCTGTTCCATAATTTTAAACCTGTTATATCTAGGTAACCACTAACCTGTACCAAATGAAATGATTATTATGTATCTTGAACGGGTGCTTCGATATAGTTCTAAATATCAATGAAAAGACGAGTTAGACCCTTCAGAATAAGTGAACTCGAATAACTGTAGTTAAAGTTTTTTAACTACTTATAAGTAATATGAAAAAACAACAAAAATTGCTAGTTATTACGTCTTACATTAACCAAGATTCACTTTGAGACCAATCAAATATTCCAGAATTAAAATTAACACCTAATCTATCATCAAGGTTAGCTCTATGATATTCGGTTTCATTTGAATGGAGCCAATTTTCATTATCATTACTGTCACATGCACAAGAGAGTAAATCATTTGTTGAGCAGTATTGATTGTATACAACAGTTGATTCATTAGATTTCTCCTCTATAGGATCTTTATTCATTGTAAATTGATTAAAGGGATTATTTCCTAATCGGGAATTAAACCAGACAATTTTTTTATTGTATGCATCAGATCTTTTCTATTAATGAAAGGTTAGAAAGAGAAGTATGGATAAATATCGTACGTATATATGAAATATTTAAAAAGACAATTTTTATTATTAGACCTATTTTCATATCCTATTTTCTCCCCTGATTGTTGATGGTTAAAACCTCTGAGAAGGAGTTCAATTATTCGGGTGATTTACTTTGGTTAGTAAATGAAAGTTCTAACAAGTGAAAACATCCTTGTAAATTTGTTTTCAACTCATACTTAATCTGTCTAAATGTCAAGCTGTTAACTTTAGCATGATACATGAACGGCGTCCAAATACAATTTTGGGATCTCATAATGCTTGTACCATTCGAGACTCCTTGATAATCAAAGTGTCAAGTGTTATTTATCTTGGTGCCACCTTTCTGTCTGATCTCTCTTGGCCTTCTCATATTTTATTGTTATCTAAGAAAGTTTTCCCTCTGACCTACTACATAAAGAGTTTGCATACTTTTGGGATTAGCCGACATTTACTCATACATTTTATCAATTATTGCATATTACCTATTATTCTTTACTGTTCTTCATTATTCATTCCCGAGCTTTAGAGAAAAGACTGCTGTATTGTGAAGAGTGCTGGAGGGAGTCAGCAGGCTGTGTGATGAATTTTTCGATGTCATTATTAATATGATTGCGAATAGACATCTAAAATCTTGAAAACTCCTAACAGGTGTTATCTTATCAGATACTAACCACTCCCTTCACTCATATCTTTCTCCTCGTAAAACGAGAAGTAATTACATTAAAATCCATGTACGCAAGCAAAAGTATAAAAGTTCTATAATATCTTACCTAGAAAATATACTTTGTGACAAACAGGTTGTTAGAGTCAACCTAGTCAGTAACCTGTATTCTTAAACATGTCTCTAATTTGGAAAGATTTATAGTTTCAGACCTTCTTTTCATCTTTTCTCTCTCTTTTTTGTTGTTTTATTTATGTAAAAGAAACTTGCTGAAATACCTTGTGCTGAGAATTCTATATTGTACCAAAATATAATAACGAATAAAGCTATTGATAATAACAATATTATCCCATTATTCTTCATTGTAATCTAATAAGTTACTTTCTTTCCTAGTTGACTGTTTTTTTTACATACAGGATTATAGTAATGATAGTGTACACAGATTTGCTAAATATCTCACTGAACTTTCAAATGTTTCCTGAATACTTGTCGTTTTTCTCTCTTTTTCTTTCAACTACTTGAGGGAATCATTGTTGGTAAAGTGTTTTTGGGATGAATTTTTGAGCTGTTCAGTAGTTTCAGGAAATTTAAAATAATCGTAAGTGGTCCCAAAATGGAACAGAATCTACTTGTGTTAATTTTCTGATTTTTTAATAAGCATCAAAGAAGATAAAACATTAATATAGGATTTCATAGTAACTACCTCCAGACCCCTAAACTCTCAGAACAGTGGACATGACGCTGGACCATAAATGTTAGACTACCATTGAAATCCCGCGCACTGCCGAGAATCTCCACGTGATAAATGTTTAAATGTTTGCAAGATGATGTTATTATAATTGTCGTCTATTCTCAAAATATTCTTGAACCTTCAACTTTTGGCTTTTATTCATTTACAATTTACATTTTCTAATCAGTTGTTTACCTTGAAATGATCAAAGTTGCCATTGTAATATACAAAAAGAATATTGATAAAGAAGCAGATCATTTAAGTAAAGATTAAATACACCAATTGAATTTCGAGAATAATTTATACTTATCTCTGAAATTTTCGTTTGAAATAGTAAGGTGTATTAATACCTCCATAACTATTAAAGTAGATAACTATATACTAATGTTTTTATACTGCCTAATTAATTGAGTTGGATAAAGGATAGTTTTACACTGCTTATCTTGATCATAAATGAGTTACACAGATATCAAAATGTAAAAATCACTTTGGTTAGATTATTCCAAGCTTTTTTTTTGTTTATCCTACACACAACTTTCTACAATTCATGACAAACATAATTGTCATAAATAACCTAATGAATCGCTATTAGTTAGTTAGCCTGGTATTTAAAACTATTGTGGGACTGTTCAGCTTATTATACTTCACTTTAACAGATGGAGAGAAAAATAAGGAGATATTAACAGGATATGAAACAAAGGATTCGAGAGTTCGAATGTAGGACAAATATCAAACAGTTAGAGATATTACTAAAACTCTTAATTTGGAATATTTCTACTATTAATAATAAATAAGAAGATTTGGGAAGAATCAATTCTTACCAGTGTAATCAGTCTAAATTAGAAATTATCAGTATTACTTAAAGTTTGTATTACAACTCTGTACTTATCCATATCATTCAAGTCAATAATCATGAACTTCAAAAATTATTGTCAAATATTGTTTTGGTCACTTCTAACAGTTTTCCAACTCTCTTCAAGAGTTATATATGCCAAACATTAAAAACATGTAATTTTACACAGATAATCAAGTTATTGAGCGCAATAAATTATAATCAAGGTCATCAGATTGTATTACACTAGATTTAATATTGGTAAAAACATTAACAAAAATTATAAGCAAAGATGGATAGCATTGAAATTCAGGTCGCTCATTTCATCCTATTTGTGACTTGTCAACTGGATATCCTTGTATCTCAGAGTTCATATTCACTCTAAGACTCAAACCCAGTACCGTTCACTTCAAACGCTATCACATTATCCACTTAGTTACTGACTCTTAATAGACAATATCGAGGCAATACACACTATACTATACGGATTAGCTAATTAATATGTGCTCAATAGTGACTAGCTTCGTGAAGAGAATTCGCAAAGTTCTAGTGAGAAGCCGTGACCAGTGCAGCTAATTCGTATCGAGCAGAGACACTTATCCACCTCAATACAATGGAAGATGGTCGCGGAGTTTCGTGGATTGGTTGAAGTTAGATTTTAACATCATTGGATGCCGGCTCAGTGGTGCAGTATATTAAACATTCGCGAGCGAGACTGAAGGCCGTGAGTTCGAGTCCTGACAGCGAGATCGTAGATGCGCACTGCTGAGGAGTCTCACAATAGGACGAAATGGTCGTCCAGTGTCTTCAGGTTTCCAACTGTAGTCTAACATCAATCGGTTCATGATCTCAATCGTAAACAATATCAAGTAAATTAACAAAAAATTTCTGAAACACTCACTTCTTTAAAACGTTTTCTATGATCAATAACAATTTCCAACATGACAATAAGAAAATATTTTGATTATTTACTCATTAAAAACATATTAAATAGTTAATATGATGGTTTGTACAATCTATGAATAGTTCAATTGTTTTCAATGGATCCATTCATAATTAAACAATGAAATCAATTCGATTAAAGTACATTAGACAAAACTTTGTTCTATTAGTTTAATATGATAAAACTTCATAACTATTTATTGTTTGTTTAATTATCATATAAAGAGATTGACTAAATGGTTATGTAGTGCATAATGAAATTATATAACAGAATTGAATAAATTTCATACTTGTAGGTATCATTACCAAGGTTTAATTTGGTCACTTCGAATAAATTGAGCATTGGGTAGATTGTTATAAATAAATAAGTAATATATTTGTAAATATCCCAATGAGTAGAAAAATTAGATTTTCCGACGTTTCGTGACTTAGTGTAAGTCACTTCTTCAGAGAATAAATAACCAAATTAAAACTAATCCCAATGATTAAGATCATGAGTCATTTGAAGCTAGACCACTAGTGACTGGCTTCAAGAGGTATAGCCTGGAGTTCTAGTGAGAAGTAGTGACCAGTGGAGTTCAACCAGGTCTGTTGTGGGATAGTAACTCTCTACAAAACCCCTTCTGATAAAACTAATCTGTTGCACTAATTAAACTTGGATTGATTTTAGTTAGGTTATTTATTCTCTGAAGAAGTGATTTACACTAAGTCACGAAACGTCAAAAAGTCTAATTTTTCTATTCATTGGGATATTTACAAATATATTATTTATTTATAAAAGTCATTCTTCTTTGTTTTTGTTTTTCTAATGTAAATAATTTCAAGAGAATATTTATGATGATGAAATTAAATAGTTTCAAGTATACATTCTTCATTGTCTTAATCAAACTGTCATTACAAATTGATATGATTGATTAAAAAACTTTTAGGTCCAGATAAGCATAATGAATAGTGACTTTTGTGATCCATTTATGGATCAACGCTATACTTACATGTTTATCGTATATTTGTTGAAAAACGAAACTATTCATATTCATGTCTCTCTTATCATGAGCTTTATTTTGACCAATGAACTATTATTATACGATTTACCATTATTGAATTATACTCAGTCTATTAATCACTACCTCCTACATTCACAGCCATATTTGGCCAAATCTTGTAAAAATGTTGTTTCATATTTTATGGTACGTTGTGGTCTGTTTGATTGGTATATAAACCCAGTATGTTTGAAATACATGATTCATATTGCAGAGGCTGAGATTGGTGTTCTTGACTTGACTGGCTGGGCTAGGCAAACAAAGGATCAATAGGATGCTAGGCTGATCGGACCGGTCGGACGTCATTGGTTTAATACTGTACAAGAGTGAATAAGTCGTATTTTGATTGGCGAATAAATTACGTTATAACTGGTCGAACTTAAAGTCACAACAAATTGGCGACGGGGATTATATATCTTTTGATCTCATAAGTTGATTATTTACGATAAAATTAAGTCAGAATGAGGTTTTGTGGAGATTGTAGTAATTGACTACCGCCTAGTGACAGACAAATATTTATATTATTTATTACTTTATTTAAATCAACAGATAGCTTTTACCTTTGAACACCCATATAAGTGAGTTTATCGGCCACTCAATGATTTATGATGAAAGAACTGTTGCTAAATCTAAAAATAGTTCTGTCATTTCTAAAATAAAATTCAGTCGAATGACAATGTTTCATCATGTGGTACAAAATTTTATTTAATCAAAATGTTTCATGTAATCATACTACTGATTAATAATAAGTAGAAAAAGTGGATAATTAAAAATAATTGGCATCATAAAAGAAATTTCTTAATCCATATAAAATCGTAATATATGTAAACTGGTTTAAATCGTGACATGATTCAATCGAATGACATTAAAACTATTGACTTAGATTAAGATCTGTTCATCATACAATTGTAATCTTGGAGAAAAAAAACAAGCTACAGTCATATATGAATGAATGATATCATTTTAAGTAAATTCACATAAGATTCTACAGTTGAGTTTTTAGTGGCTCCTATATCTAACTCCAGTTTAATCATTTCTGATTGCTATTGAGATATACATGTCGCCAATCCCCGTATATAATCATCAACTTAATCCGCGTTGGTGAATAACGGAATTAAATAAGTCAAATACGAGAATGAATTTTGAATATGTATATTGCATGCACTCATTATTGATTTGAACAGGCAAGCAAGTAGACGAAACGAAAAGGGGAGAACAAAGCAGATTGGAGAAGACAAGTGAGTCAACTCAATTTAACTAAGAGTGAATCAATATTTATAACCAGACGAAAATAAGTTACAGACATGTGATGAATAGGATAAGAAGTGCACACACTTACGTTTACATAAAAACAGTCAAGGTTGACAAACGAATAATTAATAAGGTCAAAATGTAACTCAAGAAGAATGGATAAATTGGCCTGTACAGAAGCTAGAATAGGTTATGTGAGTTCAACATAGTAACTGACACTACAAGTTCAAACCACTGGTCAAAAGCAATATCCACATTTGAAAACAATACATCTTTATAAATCCTAAATATAAATTAAGAATTATAGGTGATATAAGTTTGTTATCGGTTTTAGACGATTAAATGAATAGTATGCAATGATTACTTGAGATGAGCTACTTAATAAAATAAGACGACCAGATTATTAATTCATACTAGTAAATGCATGTATTATATAATAAATGTGACAGTTTTAATGTTATTCATATGAGATTGGCTTAATCAGAGATTAATAAATGGTATGAAGTCTTATGAATTGAGTATTCAGTGAATTTCATACTAGAACATATTGGAGGTGGATATATATTGAATTATTTTATAATAAATATTCTGGCAAAACTTTACAATACCAATGACCTTCATTGGGATATCAGCCAATCAAAATAGTTTATTGTAAGTTATAATGAAATTATAATGGATAGAAAGTTTTGATATTAAATGGTGTTGGATTACTTATTTATAAGGATTAGGGCAAGGAATTAGAACTTATTTACTTACTTACTTACGCCTGTTATCCATTCGTCGAGGGTCATAGGCCGTCCACCAGCCCTTTCCATCCAAACCTGTCCTGAGCAATGCTTGCCGGTTGTTTCTAGTTGCTAGTCATCCTTTTGATGTCTGCTTCCAATTCCCGACGTAGCCCTTCTCTTTCCCGTTTCTCTTCAGGACTCCAAGTTAGTGCTTGCCTCGTGATACAGTTTGGTAACGTCTGTAATGTATATACTATCCACTTTCAATGTCTTTTCCCAATTTCTCTTCATTTGGAAGCTGGTGTACAAATATGGTCAAGAGTTGGGGCTAAGAATTGAGGTTTGAGTGAGAGAGTACTTTTCAGTCATAATGATAAAGAATTATGCAGTTAGTTATTAAAACCTAAATGTCCAAAAGTTTGGAGCTACCATAAAAAATAAGCAAAACAAGTTAAACTATTTTGTACCGGGGCACTTTAGAGAGTACACAAAATGCTGATTTTCACCAAGTACTTTGAATTGAAAATTAACTTTTCAGATACAATCTACGTCAAGAACAGTTGTTTATTGCAATTTATTTTCCGCACTATGTCACGTTCGCTGTTTGGTTGCACAACATAAATATACATCAGAGATAGATATAAGTCATTCTTACTTAAGTTTTAATAAGTTACAAGTGTGTGTTATGAATTTTAACTCGGATCAATATGCCTGCCACCTCGTTGTTTGTAAAATCAGACCAGATAGTAAAATAAGAAATTGGTACTGATACTTCTGAATTCTTAGAATGAGGTTCTATAGAAATTGATAGTATTTTTAGCGATTGAATTAACAATTCGATCTATGTTAGACAAATAATGAAAACCTGGAAACACTGGACGGCCGTTTCATCCCGGTACAGGACTCCTCAGCAGCACATCCCCAACCCGCACTTAGGACTCGGACCCAGAAACCTCGATCTTGTGTGTGAACGTCCAACCCTTGGATCACCGCTTCTAAACACCAATTTAGAATGATTATTCTTATATGTTGTTTTAAAATAAATAATTTATCTTGATCCTGTAACCTAAAACAAAATTTCATAAGAAAACAAAAGCAATACTATCCAAATTACACTACTTTAGTTAGCTATAAATGTAATTTAAAAAGTCATAATAAAAAAGGAAAAATCCTAATTTGTATGAAAAAGACCACTTTATGTATCCTAATATTCAATAACTTTTTGTTATTACGCTCGGTTTTACTTCGTCTAATGTTATAACAATTTGGTTTCCACGTTTACACGTATGGGACGTTAATTTACCTTAGACGAATATCTACATTAGATTTCTTTCCAGTGTCTATTCTACAGGACTTCAAAACAACTCAGATCAAGAACACGTGATTAGCCTGACCACAACGTAAATATAGATTTCCGCACCAAAAACCCGACACAATCCAACAACAATGAACAATCAATAATAAATGAGTCGTAATAGTAATAATAAGGATAAGGGAATATATAACTCATCTGACACCTTTCAGACTATCTACATGTTTGATTAATCATACAACCAATCATTATCATTCTCGCCTACACAACACTTTTGTTTGACCTGATCATATTCTATTTTGAATTTTACCTCCTATCAACATTGTATACATGTTTAAACATGAATCAAACTGTATTATAATTCATTTCAATACTAACTAATATTTTGATAAATTAATAACAAGTTTTGCACAAGTTTTTACATTTTTGTACAAAAGTTAAGAACAGAAAAAGTACCACATGATGGAAACCGATCAATAATTCTTCACATTATTCCATCACTGAAGGAATGTAAACAAAACAAATAAACAAAACAAAATTACTAACTAGAAGGATTTAAGATTTAAAAGTGTGAGAGACTATAAGTCTACAGCTCATGTAACATCTTAAATTTTATCAATACTTCATGAAATATTTCGTTGAATGATAAAATTGTAAAGTTTAATGTTTT